GGAGGGAAGGCTCATTGATGGAGGTGGGAAGGGGAGGCTCATTGATGGAGTTGGGAAGGGAAGGCTCATTGATGGAGGTGAGTGGGGGTCCTCATTGATGGAGGTGGGAGGGAAGGCTCATTGATGGAGGTGGGAAGGCTCAATGATCAAGGTGGGGAGGGAAGGCTCATTGATAAAGGAATGAAGGGAAGGCTTATTGATGGAGGTGGGAAGGGAAGCTAATTGATGGAGGTCGGGAAGGAAGGATCGTTGATAGAGGTGGTGGGGACTTCTTGATGGAGGTGGGGAGGGAAGGCTCATTGATAGAGGTGGGGAGGGAAGGCTCATTGATGGAGGTGGGAAGGGAAGGCTCATTGATTTAGGTGGGGAGGGAAGGCTCATTGATAGAGGTGAGTGGGGGGGGCCTCATTGATGGAGGTGGGCGGGAGGGAAGGCTTATTGATGCAGGTGGGGAGGGAGAGCTCCTTGATGGAGGTGGGGAAGTAAGGCTCATTGATGGAGATGGGGGGCACATTGCTGGAGGTGAAGGGGATGGACGGCTCATTCATGAAAGCGGGAAGGGAAGTCTCATTGATGGATATGGGGAGGGAAGGCTCATTGATAGAGGTGGGGAGGGAAGGTTGGTCTGTGTAGTCTGATCCAATAGAAGAGCTACTGGAGCAAATTTCTGAAAACGTGAATGCCGGTTCTGATAGAAAGGTGTCAGAACACACAGAGCATCGCAGTTTGTTGTGTATGGGGTTGTGTAGCTGGTCAGGTCGCCCATGCTGACCCATGTCTACAGCCAAAAATACCTACAATGGGCACGTGAGCATCAGAACTGGACACGGAGCAAGAAAGTGGCCTGGTCTGATGAGTCATGTGGATGGCTGGATGGGTGTGCGTCACTTACCTGGGGAAGAGATGGCACCACGATGCAGTATGGTAAGAAGACAAGCCAGAAGAGTCAGTGTGATGCTTTGGGCAATGTTCTGCTGGAAAACCTTGGCTCCTGCCATCCATGTGGATGTTACTGGACACATACCACCTTCCTAAACATTGTTGGTGACCAAGTCCGCCCCTTCATGGAAACGTTATTCCCCAGTGTCAGTGGCCTCTTTCAGTAGGATAATACACCCTGCCACACTGCAAAAATGGTTCAAGAATGGTTTCAGGAACACATCAGTGAGTTTGAGGTGTTGACTCCAAATTTTCCAGATCTTAATCCAGTCAAGCATCTGTTCTTCATCAATGTTTGGAGAAATATGGGAAGGACTTTTGTAGTCGTAAATTGTTCGGCATATGAGCCATTGTTGGGGATTCTGGTATTGGTTGGAGACACTGAAGATTATGCAAAGAAGAAACATTCTGGTGTCCTGTCTGGCAGGTTGTCTCCAGGAGGTCCTAATGAGGACCTTGAGGTCCATTCCGTTATGTGATCTTGTAGTCCATCGAGGTATTCTGCACTGATTGGTGGATCACCTTTATGGCATTATAGACACGTGTTATTGGATGAGATCTCTTCCTATTCATTCCATATCTCCTGCATCCTAGCTAGGGTTAAATGTTTTATTAAGAACCAGGGTTAGAATTAAGAGTAAGGGTTATGGTTAAGGTTAAATGTTACGGATAAGGGCTAGAGTCAGGGTTAGGGCTATGGGTAAATATAAAGGTTAAGAGCTAGGGTTGGGGTTAAGGTTAAATTTTACAATTAAGGGCTAGAGTCAGGGTTAAGGGTTAGGGCTAACGGCTAGGGTTAAATGTTAGGGCTAAGAGATAAAGTAAGGGTTAGGGTAAGGGCAAGGATTAGGGTTAAATGTTAAAGTTAAAGGCTAGGATATGGGTTAAGAGCTAGGGATAAGGTTAAGAGGTTGGGTTAGGGTAAGGGCTAGGGTTAATGGTTAGGGTTAAGAGCTAGGGTTACAGTTAAATATTAGGGTTAAGGGCTAGAGTTATGGTAAAGGGTTAGGGTAAGGGCTAGGGTTAAGGTTAAGAGCTTGGGCTAGATGCTAGGGTGAGGGCTAGGGTTAAATGTTAGGATTAAGGACTAGTGCTAGGGTTAGGAATTAGGGTTAGAGTTGGGGTTATGGTGAAAGGTTAGGGTTAGATGTTGGGGATAGGGTAAGAGCGAGTATTAGGGTTAGATGTTGGGAATAGGGTAAGAGCGAGGGTTAGGGTTAGATGTTGGTGATAGGGTAAGAGCAAGGGTTAGGGTTAGATGTTAGGGATAGGGTAAGAGCGAGGATTAGGGTTAGATGTTGGGAATAGGGTAAGAGCGAGGGTTAGGGTTAGATGTTAGGGATAGGGTAAGAGCAAGGGTTAAATGTTAGGATTAAGGCCTAGGGTTAGAGTTAATAGGGTTATGGTTAAGGGCTAGGTTTAAATGTTAGCATAAGAGCTAGGGTTAAGGGTTATGGTTAGGGTTATAAATTAGGATTAAGAGCGAGGGTTAGGGTTAAATGCTAGGGTTAGGTCTAAGGGCTAGGATTCTGGTTCAAGGTTAGGGCTAAATGTTAGAATTAAGTGCTAGGGTTAAATGCTAGGGTTAGGTCTAAGGGTTAGGATTTGGGTTGGGGCTAGATGTTAGGGTTAAGAGGTCAGGTTAGGGTTTAGGTTAATTGTTAGGGTATGGGCTAGGGTTAGGGGTTGGGGTAATGGTTAAGGGCTAGGGTTAGGGTTAACTGTTCGGGTTAGGGTAAAGTGTTATGGTTAAGAGCTAGGGGTACAATTACATTTTAGGGTTAAGGGCTATGTTTAGGGGCTAGGGTTAGGGATAAGAGTTAGGGTTACGTGCTAGAGTAACAGTTAAATGTTAAAGTAAGGGCTAGGGTTAAAGACTTTCATAAGGTGCTTGGGTTAGGGTAAAAGTTGAGGTTAAGAGCTAGAGTTAGGGTCTTGGATTAGGGTTTAATGTTAGGGTTAGGGTAAAGGCTAAGGTTAAGGTTTTGGTTAAGGGCTAGGTTTTAAATGTTAGGGTTAGAGTTAGGGTTATGTATAAGGGTTAGGGTTAAATGTTATGGTTAAAGGCTAGAGTTAGGGTTAAATGTTAGGCTTAATGGCTAGGATATGGGTTAAGAGCTAGGGTTAAGAGGTTGGGTTAGGGTTAAGGGTTAGCATTAGGGTGAAGGGAAAGGGTTAGAGTTAAATGATAGGGTAAGGGTTAAGGTTAAGAGATAAGGTTAAGAGCTTTGGTTAATGTTAGGGTGAGGGCTAGGGTTAAATGTTAGGATTAAGGATTAGTGCTAGGGGTTGAGATATAGGGTTAGAGTTAGGGCTATGGTTAAGGGCTAGGGTTAAATGTTAAGGAAAGGGTTAAGCGTTAGGGTTAGGGCTATGGGCAAATATAAGGGTTAAGAGCTAGGGCTAGGGAAAGTGTTAGGGTTAAGGGCTAGAGTAGGTTGTTAGGGTTAGGGTTAAGAATTAGGCTTATGGTTAAGGGCTAGGGTTAGATATTAGGGTTAAGAGTTAGGATTAAGGTTAAATGTTAAGGGCTAGAGTTAGGGTTACAGGCCAGAGTTAGATGTTAGGGTTAGGGTAAGGGCTAGGATTAGGGTTACATCTTAGGGTTAGGGGTGAGGTAAGGGTTTAGAGCTAGGGTTAAGTTTAAGAGGTAGTGTTAGGGTATGAGCTCGGGTTAAGGTCTAGGATTAGGGTTAAATGTAAGGGTTAGGATTATGTGTTAGGGTTACAATGAAATATTAGAACCAAGGGTCAGAGTTCGGGTTAGCGGTAATCACTATGGTTAGGGTTAGTTTTCTAACTATAGTGAACTCGGTGTAGAGCTCTTACCCCTGAGGTCATCACAGAAAAGATGGAGGGGGGTTTCTCTATGTTAGATGTGATGTGAAAGTGAGGAAGAAAGATGATCTTGTGGTTGGAGGTGGTGATGGTGCGGAGGAGGAATTACGGGAGGAATGATAGATGGGTCTATAGACTGATGGACTTATCATTGGAGTATACTACAGACGTCCTGAGGTCTATGAGAAGGGGGAGAGTCGGTTGTTCCAACAAGGTGATGGTGCGGAGGAGGAATTACGGGAGAAATGATTGATGGGTCTATGGACTGATGGAGTTATCATTGGAGTATACTACAGACGTCCTGAGGTCTATGAGAAGGGGGAGAGTCGGCTGTTCCAACAAGGTGATGGTGCGGAGGAGGAATTACGGGAGGAATGATAGATGGGTCTATGGACTGATGGACTTATCATTGGAGTATACTACAGACATCCTGAGATCTATGAGAAGGGGGAGAGTCGGCTGTTCCAACAAGGACAAGCTGGGAACACCAAACTACTAAGACACAAGATGGAGACTAAAACCTACAGGATGGGCCCTACTTGTAGTGTTAGAGAAAAGAATAAAGGAGAAGAACATTTCATCACACAAATCTGAAGGAAGATTTTTATCAATCAATTTACAGAGAATATCATGAGATTAAGAATAAAAAATATTTAATCTGCATTTGTTTTATACTAAACAAGTCAATATATTTACATTTTATCAGGTAAATATGAAATGTTACATCTGAAAACCAAACCAGCAGTGACCACCCTCCTTCTCTCTCACCATGATGTCCTCCATGGAAGCTTTTGCTGAAAGTCAGGGGAAGTCAAACTACACTGCTAGAGGGACCCAACCAGCAGTAAATCCCCCCCCCCCCCCCTCCTTCTCTCTCACCATGATGTCCTCCATGGAAGCTTCTGCTGAAGGTCATGGGAGATCAGACTACACTGCTAGAGGACCCAACCAAGAATGACCCCCCCCTTCTCTCTCCTAGCAGAGGAAGCCAGACACAACTGTGAAGTCTTTAGTGATCTCTGATCTCCTTATAAAGTGTTTCTTCCATGATAAAGATCAGAGGAGCGCTCAGCCACATGTTCTCTTCTTTTTCCCAGTGTGAGATCTCTGATGTACGGCAACATGTCATCCATAGAGAAGACATTTCCCGCACTCAGGACACTAATACACCTCGGGGGTTCGGTGGGTTCTCTGATGTCTGACAAGACCAAAAACATTTCCTCTCAGAGCAGGAATACAGTTTTCCCACCGTGTGAGATTTTTAGATGCTTGACAAGTGCTGATTTCCGTAGATAACATTTCCCGCACACAGGGCAGGTAAACAACTTCTGCCTCGTCGTGTGGCATATCTGATGTACAGTAAGATTGGACTTCTGTGAAAAACATTTCCCGCACTCAGGACAGGAATACGGCTTCTCGCCTGAGTGAGACCTCTCATGTGCATTAAGATGGGATCTCTGTGAAAAACTTTTCCCGCACTCAGGGCAGGAATACGGCCTCTCCCCCGTATGAGATCTTTGATGTATAACAAGGTCTGTTTTTCGTGTATAACATTTTCCGCACTCGGAGCAGGAATACGGCTTCTCGCCCGTGTGCAATTTCTGATGTCTGTAAAGATTTGTTCTCTGTGAAAAAAAATTGCCCACACTCTGGGCAGGAAAACGGCCTTTCCCCTGTGTGAGATCTCTGATGTATAACAAGTTCTGATTTCTTTGAAAAACATTTTCTGCACTCTGAGCAGGAATGTATCTTCTCCCCCGTGTGAGATCTCTGATGTACACTAAGATTCGATTCAGAGTAATAACTTTTCCCGCACTCAGGACAGGAAAATTCCTTCTCTTCCTGAACCCCGGCCCCATCCCCCACAGTACGAGGTTGCTCAGAGTCAGAGGGATGCCATGGTCTCTCCACACTGGGAAGTCCACCATCCATAGTGGAGCTCATTGTCTTTTCTTCGGCACAATCTCCTGGGATGTCCTCATCTTCCATTTTACAACCTGGAGATAAAGTGAGACGATCCTTTGAGGGTTTCTCCATGGTGGGTCCTGGAAAAATAGAAAAACATCATCAATAGATAGGAGAAGGTTAGTTCACTTCCATCAAGATTCCATCTGGATCCTCCCAGATCACTTCTACATTTACACCGCCTTGTCAGAGGAGCAGGGACCAATGGGGGCTGGAGGGGCGGGAACTGAGCAGAGATAAGAGAAGAATACATTCTGGTCACCTGTGCTGATCTCTGTAGGAGTGTCCTCCTCTATGAATGTCCTCCTCATTCCAGCCTCCTCCGTATATTGCTGATCATCCCTCACATACGTCTCTTCTACTTCACCCTCAACTTTCATGTTCATCAGATCTTCACCCTAAACCAACAGAATGGCAGAAAAAACATCTGTAACATAGAAGGATTTATGCTGTGAGATCACATAGAACATCTCATCTTGTAGAGTCCACACATCGTCTCCACATCTCAGAGTGTTCCATCACTTTATGTTGCCGACCCTCAACTCCACCTACCTGATGATGGTAAGGGATGATGTGACCCTCCTGTGTGGAATCCTGGGAATACAGAGGACGGGGACATCTCTGGTGGGTTTCCCATGACTGGATCCACCTACCTGATGATGGTAAGGGATGATGTGTGACCCTCCTGTGTGGAATCCCAGGAATACAAAGGACAGGGACATCTCTCTATTGGGTTCCTCGTATTAGGTGGCTCCATTGTAATGGCTCTGTAGTGATCCTTGCGTCCTTCCAAAAGCTCCTTCATCACTTCATACTCCTCATCCTCCTCTTTTACAACAATATTATCATCCCCGAGGATTCCACTCTGAATATATAATAAAACATTCATTGTAACAAACATGCCATGTAAATTAGAACTACCAGTGATTGTTCCTCATCTACCTGATTAGGTTCTGCATAGTTGTGACCTACCTGTGTGGAATCTAGAGGAAGGGGATGTCTCTCTGGTGGGTTCCTGTAGCTGGATGACTCCTCCATGGTGTCCTGGTACAGATCTTTGTGTTCTTCTGGAATCTCTGACTCCTCCATCCCCCCATCCTCATCATCCTCCTCTTTTATCTCTTCTTTAACCTCAGCTTTAGGATCTCTCAGGTTTCCACTCTGAATATATAATAAAAATGACATAAATGGTAACAATGCAGATAATGTACAGATCCTAACGATACTATCAGTGATTGTTCCTCATCTACCTGATGATGGTGAGGGATGGTGTGACTTTCCTGTGTGGAATCCCGGGAACACAGAGGACGGGGACATCTCTCTGGTGGGTTCCCATGACTGGATCCATCTACCTGATGATGGTGAGGGATGGTGTGATCTTCCTCTGTGGAATCCCGGGAATACAGACTATGGGGACATCTCTCTGGTGGGTTCCCATGACTGGATCCATCTGTAGGAACACACACACACTGATTGAATCCATTGTTTCTATGTGTTTATCAGATGATGGTGGATCTAGGTGGATCCTCCGTACTGCTGCTCTCTCCTTTCCAATAAAGTCTCCTCTTACCCGGTGATGTGAGAGGCGGCTGATTGTCCATCATAACGTCCTTGTAGAGGTCCTTGTGTCCTTCTAAATACTCCCACTCCTACATGGAGAAATAGACAGTGACACCCTGACACCTTATAGGAACCTGACACACACAATGATACAGTCACCATCCAGACACATCCCTTGTCTGTTACTGGAGAATGTCCCAGAATTCCCAGCACCACTCACCTCTCCTGTCAGCAGCTCCATCATCTTCTTGGTGACTTCTAGAATCTTCTGCATTTTGTGTCTCTCAGGGTTTAGGGAGTCACATGGAGGCACTGTGATGGTCATATGATCACCTGACTTCAGAAGAGGAAATCTCTGTATTGAGGAACCAATAGGAACATCATGTTAGACTCCCAGAATCCTCCTCACCTCTCTGGTCAGGTCTGTGTTTTATTAATAGAGATGAGAGTGATGTCATGTGACCTCCCAGAATCCTCCTCACCTCTCCGGTCAGCAGGTAGATGATCTCCAGTGTGAGGTTTAGTATCCTCTCAGTCATGTGACTCTGATCCTCCTCCATCCTCATTGGTGCCGTCATCTATGAAGGTTTTCCTGTAGTCAGACAACATTGATGACATAGAATGATCTGGATTGGTTGTACAATGATACGATGGGGATATCAGAAGGCCATATGAAGGTCGGTGTGTATTTTAGAATTGTGGCCACCAGAGAGAACATATTTAATTCGGTCTGCTTGGTGTTTGCTATGGTTTTCATGGTCTCTTACTCCTCTTTGAGCACAAATTCCATGTTTTTATGTTGGGTTTGTTTTGCTTCTGGCCTCATTTGCTTTAATTTTTATAAGGCGGGAGGGGGGGGGGTTACTGGGTGTAAACAGAAAATAAGACCTTATTACCTCCTCTATTGCCACTTCCAACAATGTCTCTTCTCTACTTCCTCCCAAGTCACCGCTCACTGAAACTTCCTATTTATACTTGACATCACTTCCTGTCTACCATAGAGACTTCCTGTCTGGATAGAAGTGAGATCCCCACCTTGTGGAGCTCAGAGGAACTGCAGCCCCGAGAACCATCTGGTAGTGTGACCCCGGCCTTGTGCTGGGTGTGTATGGACTGTATGTCCTCATGGATGGGTCACCTCCACTCCCACCAAGGGGAACAGAAATATATTAGTGATCAGGATAAATGGAGAGATTTTCACACCTTTGGTTTTTCAGCAAAATATATTTCAGATTTGGTCATAATTAAGCTCCAGTTTTTCATTATGTGACACTGCTTGGGAGAAATTGGAGAAAAAAATTAGCTACCTTAATGAAAACCTTCCGGTGTGGCTTTGCAAACCCTGCGATGTCCCCATTCATCCAAAGAAGACTCAGGCAGTGGTGGATTGGGTGATGGTGAGTCTCTCCCTCACTGTCTGCCTCAAATGTACCCAGCAGAAGGCAGTCGTCTTGTACTGCATCCAGTAAGATCAGGGTGGGGCCCCGTACACCAGTACAGATGAGACGGGGAAATACCTCTCCTATTTAAGCATGTCCCACCTCTGGTATAGGAACATGAAGAACCCCAGCAGAGAAGAAAGGTTGGAAATGGCTCCTGATCCCCAGGATGTGGTGGAGGATTCGCCGGGTAAAAGAGGAAAGATACAGCAGAGGATCCCAGTATGGAAAAATAGGGAAGTGGGCAAGCAGGGCAAATATGTGAAGGTGGAACTTCCAGGTCCTGCTAGGAGTCCCATGATGGCAGCAGACATTATTTGGAAGGATGCCTAAAGAAAAACCTGAGGGGGGGAATGATTTTCTGGGTTGTTGCTAGGGTTCAGGGGGATCAATATGGGACAAAATATTGTACATATTACATTACATAGTCCTATGTTTCCAGTCACAAGGTCACAAGAAAAGGGAAAGACTAGGAGGGTGGTTGATGTGCTGGTTGGACTCATGGAAGAGACATAAGTGGAATAGGTGTAGTATGTTGCTTCATGGAAGCCAGCAGTTTGGTGTGGACATGAAAAAAAACAGTCTGTGGCACAACTGCCCTGGTCTCTTATTCTTGGGGCAGTGATCAACCTCCTGGATTGAATGAAATTCATCGTCATTCAACCTGTCGCAAAAACTGCGCAAAACACAGTGAAGTACGCAGTTCAACCATTTTGCAGGCACCTCCATCTTGGTAAGGAGTATATATTGTGTCTCTCATTTCTCATTCTCCTTCCCCCTCCCTTCCTGAGAGGCACAGTGACAGATGTGTGTGTTAAAAGTGTCACTGGCAGGTAGAGCAGCAGGGGACCCAGAGCTACAAAGCCCCCCAGGAGAGACGGAGACTAGCTGTCCAAGGACATGTGTAATTTCTCACTTTCGTAACCGAGATAAGGCAGCTTTACACAGGAGTTGAGGAGATTGTAAGCTCATAAGACCTAGCAGCTTAGGTGACAGAATTAAATGAGCATTCCTCAGGTCAGTGTGTCCCCTATCTTTCATTTCATGGATTATGAAGATGTTGGTTCTAATTCAGAGTCCGCCCGACGATCCCTCCCTAAACAGAGTATTGGTCAGTTACTCAGAGCCACCCCCCTTCTGGGGGACTTTAAAACACAGGCTAGCAGGCCTAAAAAGTGAAGTTGAAGACATCTCCCAATTGTAACATCAATATACCACCTAGGGAGACCCTTTGCCCTGAAACTTGGATCTGCTTATGGCTAAGGCTTAATTGACAAGTAACTTAACCCTTTAACTTCCTCTCTGATATCTCTTTGCTGTGCTATGGTTCTTTGTATGTATATATATATATATATATATATATATATATATCTTAGTTACATCTTTTTCTGTAAATATTTTATTGCACCTGTTTGACTCTTTTAGTAATAAATTTTTGTTTCTGAAAGTATTAAACTGTTTCTAAAGCGCTTAATTGCAATTTACGAATTCCTGCCTCTAAAGAGACGATACTGTGTTTGTTTAATCCTCTGCCCAATCGGCTTGCGGTCACCGTATTGGACAGACGACTTTTCAACCATTACAGTGTATATTTGATAAAGAGAGTTTCCCCTTTCGCTGTACAAAAAGGGGTGGTGGCAGTGAAGGGTTAGTTGCGTAAT